ACGGGTCGACACTTGACCACGTTCACACGTGGGCCGGGGTCGAGCCTGTACACACTCACTGTTCCGTCTCCTCCTCCTGCGTCTGGTCAGGTAGCTGCATCGGGTCAGGTGTTTGCTGCAGCGTCCAGGTCTGGTCCTGAGTCTCCCCCTGCTCGTGTCGCCTCCTGTCCCACGAGACCCTCCTGTGGCACCACAGGATGGGTCACCCCTCCCTGCCTCGTCTCCGGGGCATGGCCTCTCGCCTTCTTGTCTCTGGCCTTCCCGGTCCCTCCCTCCCCTTCCTCCGGGGCCTGGCCCTCCCTGTGTCCCCTGTGTCGAGGGTCGCCTGCGGGCCTCCCCTCACTCCTCCCCGTTTCCTCCGACGGAGGCCCCGATGCAGACGCTTCACATGGACGTGTGGGGCCCAGCCCGCGTCCGTGGACAGGGTCACGAGCGCTACTTCCTGCAGGTGGTTGACGACTACTCACGTTACACCACAGTCTTTCCCTTGCGCAGCAAGGGTGAGGTCACTGAGGTGTTGATCGACTGGATCCGCGCAGCTCGTCTCCAGCTCAGGCGGAGCTTCGGCTCGGACTTTCCTGTTTTGCGTCTGCACTCGGACAGAGGCGGAGAGTTCTCCTGCCTTCTGCGAGCCTACTGTCGGGCACGAGGCATCCGCCAGACCTTCACGCTTCCGGACTCTCCACAGCAGAATGGGATTGCTGAGCGCCGCATCGGCATTGTCATGGACGTCGCCCGTACGTCCATGGTGCATGCGGCTGCCCCCCATTTTCTGTGGCCGTTTGCGGTGAGGTACGCCGCACATCAGATCAACCTTCAGCCCAGGGTCTCCAGACCGGAGACCTCCCCAGCTTTGCTGTGGACGGGGAAGGTTGGCGATGCGTCGGCGTTCCGTGTCTGGGGATCTCGGGCGTTTGTCCGCGACTTGTCTGCGGACAAGCTGTCCCCTCGTGCTGCTCCTTGCGTCTTCCTGGGTTTCCCCCCTGACGCACCTGGGTGGCAGTTTTACCACCCCACCTCTCGACGTGTTCTGTCCTCCCAGGACGTCACGTTCGACGAGTCGGTTCCCTTCTACCGGCTCTTCCCCTACCGCACACCGTCCCTCCCCCCCCCGCCCCTCTTCCTGGTCCCAGGTCCCCCCCCGGTAGACCCCCTCCCCCCTCAGGGTCCTGCCCCTTCAGGTGTGTCTCAGGTAGACGCGGTCGAGCCTGTCGAGGTCACTGGTGACTCTGGTGCTGCTGCGGGTGCGGAGCCTCGGGGTGCTGAGACTGGGGGTGCTGAGACTGGGGGTGCTGAGACTGGGGGTGCTGAGCCTGGGGGTACTGAGCCTAGGGGTGCTGAGACTGGGGGTGTGAGCCTGGGGGTGCTGAGCCTGGGGGTACTGAGCCTGGGGGTGCTGTGACTGGGGGTGCTGAGCCGGGGGTGCTGAGCCTGAGGGTGCTGTGCCTGGGGGTGCTGAGCCTGGGGGTTCTGCGTCTGGGAGTGCTGCGCCTGCTGCTTCTGTTCCTGGTGGTTCTCCAGACCGTTCTTCGCGCCGCGAGCCGCTCTCTCCTCTGGAGCTGCGTGAGTGGTTTGCCGGCGCTAGAGGCGAGCTGCTGGAGCCGGGGGTACTGCGGGTGCTGGAGGTTCCGTTGCTGCCGAGGGAGCTGGTACCACGGGTCCCGGAGGTGCTCGTACTGAGGGTACTGGAGCTGCCGGGCCCGGGGGTGCCTCTGGAGCTGGAGCTGCTGCGGGTGCTGGCGCTGAGGCTACGACTGTCGGTCCTACTGCGGGTACTTCTGCAGCTGCTGGTGGTGCTGGAGTTGGAGCTGCTACTGGTGCTGGTGCTGCCTCTGGAGGTGTTGGTCCTGTCCCTGCTGTCTCTGGCGGTGCTGCGCGGCCTCGGCCGTACTTCGTTCCGCTCCTTCAGCAGGTTCTTGGTCTCCCGCCTTCCACTGGTCCTTCTCCTCCCGTAGAGTGTCCGCAGCCTGTCCCGTCACAGTCACAGTTACAGCCCGCCCTCCCCTGCCTTCTCCTTCCCCTACGCTGGTCCTACTGGAGGTCTTGCTGAGCGTCGTGAGCCTGCGTCCCGCCCTGCGTCGCCAGTCCGAGCTGCTCGCCCTAGTGGTCGCGGTTCGCGTCAGCGTCCTCCTCCTGTCCCTGGCACGCACCAGATGTCTCTGCGTCCGTCCAGTGCTCCTCTGCGTGCCCCTTTGCCTTCTCCTCCTGAGTCTTCTCTTCCTACACTTGCCGACCCGGAGTCGGACTCTCACCGTGCTGCCACTCCTACTGTCACGCGTCTTTTTGCTTCTCTTGTCACTGACCCTTACTTTGAGTCTGCTGCTGCATCTGCCCTAGTTGCTGAGCTGGTCGACTTTGCTGCTGCGTGTCGTCTGGACTACGCTGCCAGTCTTGTTGCTGAGTCTACTGAGTCTGCTGAGTCTGCGTCTGCTGCGTCTGCGTCTGCCTGTCCTCCGTCCGTCGGGGGTGACTGTGCTCTTGGCACGGACGTCCTTGAGGACAGGCAGGAGGAGTTCCAGTGCTTTGCCGCCGCTTTGCCCTATCTCGTGTCCATGCTTGTTGCCCCTGAGGGAGACCCGGATGCTCTAGACATCCCGACCCCACGCTCTTACGCAGAGGCGATGGCCGGTCCCTACTCCTCTCAGTGGCAGTCAGCCATGGACGCAGAGATGGCTTTCTGGAAGTCCACAGGCACCTACGTTGACGCTGTTCCCCCTCCTGGGGCGAACATTGTCAGTGGCATGTGGATCTTCAGGGTGAAGCGGCCGCCGGGTTCTCCGCTTGTCTTCAAGGCGCGCTACGTGGCTCGTGGCTTCAGTCAGCGACAGGGAGTTGACTTCTTTCAGACCTTCTCCCCGACCCCGAAGATGACCACTCTTCGGGTTCTACTGCACGTCGCTGCTCAGCGTGACTACGAGCTACACTCTCTTGACTTCAGCACTGCTTTCCTGCAGGGCAGCCTGCACGAGGAGATCTGGCTGCGCCGCCCTCCTGGCTTCACTGGGTCGTTCCCTCCTGGTACCCAGTGGAGCCTCCGGCGGCCAGTCTACGGTCTCCGCCAGACGCCGCGTGAGTGGCACGACACACTGAGGACTACACTTGCGGCTCTTGGGTTTGCTCCTTCTACTGCTGACCTGTCGCTCTTTCTACGCACCGACACCTCGCTGCCGCCGTTCTACATCCTCGTGTACGTCGACGACTTGGTCTTTGCCACTGCGGACACTGCCGCACTTGCCCACGTGAAGTCCGAGCTGCAGAAGAGACACATGTGTACAGACCTGGGGGAACTGACAAGCTATCTTGGCTTGCGGATCACCCGGGACAGAGACGCCGCACCATTACCCTGACTCAGTCACACATGGTGCAGCAGGTCCTTCAGCGCTTCGGCTTCACGTACTCCTCGCCTCAGTCCACTCCTCTGCCTACGGGACACTCGCTCTCAGCTCTGCTTCGGATGAGTCCGTAGAGTCGAGTGGTCCGTATCCAGAGCTTGTGGGCTGCCTCATGTACCTGATGACTTGCACTCGACCTGACCTCGCATACCCTCTCAGCATCTTAGCACGCTATGTTGCTCCCGGCCGTCACCGGAAGGAGCACATGGATGCAGCTAAGAGGGTGTTGCGCTACTTGTGCAGTACGTCGGGCATGGGGCTAGTGCTTGGAGGGCGTGAGCGGCCTGTGCTCACTGGGCACTCAGACGCTTCTTGGGCTGACGACCAGGCTACTCAGAGGTCGTCTCAGGGTTACACCTTCAGTCTTGGCTCTGGCTCTGTCTCTTGGCGCTCTACTCGCTCTTCTTCGGTTCTCAGCTCCAGCTGTGAGGCTGAGATCTACGCCACGGCCATGGCTGCCCAGGAGCTTCGCTGGCTCACCTACCTGCTGACTGACCTTGGAGAGCGGCCTCGTTCTCCTCCAGTGCTGTACGTCGACAACAAGGCAACCATTGCCTTGTGTGAGGAGCACAGACTGGAGCACAGGACGAAGCACATTGCTCTGCGCTACTTCCTTGCTCGAGAGCTGCAGCAGCGTGGTCAACTTCGCCTGCGTTTCGTAGCCACTGAGGCCAACACTGCTGATGTGTTCACCAAGGCACTTCCGCCTCGTGACCATCAGCGCTTTTGCACTCTGCTAGGCCTTGTGCCCAGTGGGCCTCACTTGCTTACCTCTTGACCTTGCTTGTACTGCTGCATATATATATCCTTGCTCTTGCTTGTTTTGCACTGTTATATATATATGCTCTGCTGCATGTGAACTGGCCTTGTGGCCTTGACCTTGTGCTCGGAATTTGTGTGGTATCCTTGAGATCCACCCTGAGCTTGCTTTGCTTTGCTTTGCTTTGCTTGACTGGTCTTGTGACCCCTTGCTCTCCCCCACTTTGCCTATGGGGGTGTGTCAGATGATTATATTACTGATGCATATATCTAGGCTGTAGTGGGGTAGCCCATAGGGGGTACAACCCAATTAGGGTTGGTACTTGTACTTGTTTCATTTCATAGTGCACCCATTCCTCGCCTCTCTCTCAACAAAAAGCAAATTGTGAATCATGAAAATTACATATCAAGAAACACATTAGCAATACATTTCCAAGCGTACACTCTCAACTCATTAGGGTCTCGGCCGGCCACATAGGAACATGTCGTGCCTTTCCCTGCACCAATCTGCACTCCCCGGCCCTCCGCAGCGCAGACCAGCCTTGCCCCACCGCACATGCCCTGACGTGCACTGCCGCCAGCATCCTGCCACACATCTTGCTAACACTGCCAATCTCCATATTTTTGCCACGGCCCCTGCCTCCCTTCACCCTGTGCTTGCCATTTTGCCTCCCTCCCACGCCACTCCGCACTGACCATGCCGCACAACTCACTCCCTTACCCTTGCCCCATGATCCACCAGTTCGAATCCTTGCCTGCACAGTGCTGGCTGCTAGGCAAAGCGGCTCCCAATCCCTCCGTACATGCAGGGGCGGGGAACAGAGAGGGCACGGCCTCATAGGGCGCAGATCAGCAGAGGGTATGGGCCAGCAGGGGAGGCACATATAGAAAAAGACGTGGTTTGGAGAGGTGGGATGGAAGGCGTGGACAGCAAGCGGCAGGCACAAGGCAGCACGTGCACCTTCCGGGCACACCTGCGCGCGGATGAGAAGGGAAGGTGGTAAGGTGGGCAGGCGGTAAGGTCGGCAGGCGGTAAGGTGTGCGAGGGTGAAGGAATAAGAACAGAGGGTGGGGAGACACAGGGAAAAGGGACAAGGAAACGGGTAACACAGAGACAGGGAAGGGGATGGGGGGAAGCAGGGAATGGGATGGGGGGAAGCAGGGAACGGGATGGGGGGAAGCAGGGAAGGGGATGGGGAGAAGCAGGGAAGGGGATGGGGGGAAGCAGGGAAGGGGATGGGGGGGAGCAGGGCAGAGGGTAGGGGAAGCAGGGAAGGGGATGGGGGGAAGCAGGGAAGCGGATGGGGAGAAGGAGGGAAGGGGATGGGGGGAAGCAGGGAAGGGGATGGGGGGAAGTAGGGAAGGGGATGGGGGGAAGCAGGGAAGGGGATGGGGGGAAGCAGGGAAGGGGATGAGGGGAAGCAGGGAAGGGGATGGGGAGATGCAGGGCAGGGGGTGGGGGAGAAGCAGGGAATGGGATGAGGGGAAGCAGGGCAGAGGGTGGGGGGGAGCAGGGAAGGGGATGGGGGGAGCAGGGCAGAGGATGGGGGGGAGCAGGGAAGGGGATGGTGGGGGAGCAGGGCAGAGGGTGGGGGGAAGCAAGGAACGGGATGGGGGGGAGCAGGGCAGAGGGTGGAAGGAATCAGGGCAAAGGGGGAAGAAGGGCTGGTGGGAGAACAGGTGGTTGGGAAAAACAGAGACAGGGGGCAACAATTTGGGGGAAGTGAGGGCGATGAGGGGAAGCGCGTGGGGGAAAAGAACATTTGCATACCCTTCTGTCCTATCCCCTCTATGTCTCTCATTCAGTCCCTTCCCCTCAGGAGGAAGAAGGGTGGAAGAAAGGGTGAGAGAGAGGTTCGAAGAAAGATAGATAGAGAGAGGGAGAGGGAGGGAGGGAGAGATGGAAGGGAGGAAGAGGAGAAGAGCGTATGACAAGAGGAATAGAATGTGGGGAGGAAGGCGGGTGGTATGTGGGGGAGATGGAGGCGGGTATGTGGGGAGGCGAGGGCGACGGGCAGAAGCGAGGGCGTTATGGCGATGAGGAAAACGAAGACGTTGAGGAGGAGAGCGAGAGATGAGAAGAAGTGCGGGTGACGGGGAAGCAAGGGCGACGACGGAAGCGCGGGTGACGGGAGAGCAAGGGCGACGACGGGAAGCACGGGGTGAGGGGAAGCAAGGGCGACGACGGGAAGCACGGGTGACGGGGAAGCAAGGGCGACGACGGGAAGCGCGGCGGCGACAAGCAGAGGCGAGGGCGGCGAGGGTCGGCGAGGGAGATGAGGGAAATTGCGGGCGAAGAGGAAAGCGGTTATGACGTGGGAAAGAGCAGTCGATGAGGAGGAACATATGAGACTAACAGCACCGCGCGTGTGGCGACCCTGTACGGCATTCGCGTTAGCGACCCGTGCCTAAAACGGTACGATCGGGACGCGAGGCTGAACCGCAGCAAGTGTGAAAAGAGCATCTTGTGCGACGCGAGCTTGAAAGCAAGGCGCGTGTAACGCGACGATTGTTCACTAACGCTGTGAACGGGTTGTAACGCGAGACGGCGACGTGAGGGGGAAATCGGAGCGTGCACTGACTAAGATGGTTGAGGTGGATACCTTTTTTTTTCCGCACAAAAAAAAAAGCCCTAACAAACGACTCGCTTTTGCCAACTAGCGCTAGTTTTTGTCTTGGAGCCTCCTAGTCTATGTAGTACGACTTGGTAAGCAAGTATGTGAGTGGTGAACAGTGCATATGGTTGGCGAT